CTCGGAGCCTCCCTGAGCAGCTTCACGACCTTCTAATTCAGCTAGTAGGTCGTCCACTGTGGCTTCAATGAGTGTCACCCTTGGTTTGTTGCGGTTGTCATCGCGGCGACGGTCATCACGCCGGTTGTTGCGGGCGTATCCATCGTCGCGTCGCGTATCACGACTCTTGGAGTATCGGTACTCACTGTCACGCTTGGCCATTCTATCCTTGTCTTTGAGAACATCTTCGATGATCTCTTCGAGCTCGTGAATGTCGGCGACTCGAGCGTGGTAGAGACTCTCCGCCAGCTTGTCATCATCGCATGTTGCCAGGAACTGCTGTACGTGTTCTTTCGCGTCGCGACCACTCTTCTCAAAGTGTAGACGGGCGGTCCGAGCGTAGCCATTCAGCCTGTTTATGTAGTCGCACAGGTGTTCATTACGTTCCCGCTTGGCGGAGTAGTAACGCGACAGTGCCGTCTGAGTGAACTGCGAGCAGTAGTAGCGGATGAACGCGTCGCTCAGCAGCTTCCACTTGCGCTTCGTCTTCTTCGGAAGCTGACGGAACCAATGAATGGCTCCGTCCCGAAGCCTTAGCTCAAATGGAATGCACCATTTGTCGGCATCTGTGTGGGTTCCAGTCATTTCATAGACGAACCCACGGAGCCACTGCATACAGTTCTCGCTCTTGTTGCGAGAGCCTGAGAACGGCGTGATGCGATCCAATGGTCGGTGCGACGCCATTTCAATCCTCGGTGTCGGGTCCACGTCGTTCAGCGTCGCTAACTCATTCATCTGGCGCATCAACTCGAGTTGAGGATCTTCCTCGTCGAATGTACGCACCAAAATGTCATCGTCACTGGACGAACCATCGCTGTCGACTTGACGACGTCCGTCACCACCTTTGGGAGCTTGCGCACCGCCTCGGCGACCGAACGAACCCTCGTTACTTGCGTAAATACGTTGCATACGGCTCTCCGAACGTGGCGTAACCATGTGCGAGTCTTGAAAGTACGGTAAAGTTTCGGTAGTGCCAAAGGCACCACGCTCAGCTCCACGCTTGGTCGGAGGAGTACGAACGAGTCGTTGGGGCGTCGGCGGCAATGGAATCTTGGACGGATCTTCATCTTGAATCATCGGTCGACTCACAGGTTGCTTTCCAGCATTGATGCCAACGGCGCCAAACGCCTTCCGAAGCTTCTTCTTCCATTTCTGGAGAGCAGCTCCGGCTTCATGTGGACTCCAATCCTGGAGCGACATCGTCGATGGGTACGTCTCGTTCTCGAACCCCAGCGACAACAGTAGCGAAACTGAATCCTCGGCAACTTGGCTAGTCGAAACCGAGTTGACTGGGTATTGAAGTTCCTGCGCAAGCGCAGGCCAGTCGGCTATTTTCTTGGGGATGGGCTTGAACAGCTGCATCCACTCATCATTCTGCATCAGCGCTTGTACGCGGTCGAAAACGCGCTTGACGGCTGGTGTATCACCGTTGATAGGTGGGCGAGGTGCCTTCAGCAGTGCTGAAGGCTTTGCACTTGCCACCGAAAGTTTAGAACCCTCGGTCCCATCGTCATAATCATCGTAGGCTGGATCTGGTCCCGCAACATCATCGAGCTCGTCGGCGAGGTTCCTCGAAAGGGACTTGGTCGCCCCGCTCAGCCCTGATGACAGCGTGGCCGTCTCTGGTGTCGCTGCGCCTGGCTCTGGAGCCGGCGTCTTGTCTTCGTAATCTTCATAATCGTGGGCGTCAGGACCGATGTCCGCTTCGTCGTCGAAGCTCACTGAAAGCTCGGTGGCAGCTGCAAAGCGCGCAGCCGGGCTTGAACTCTCGTTGCGAGCCCCGCCAGACTTGGCAGGCGTAACTGGTACCGTCGGTTGTCCTTTCGCCATGTTTCTTGTCTTTTTCTTGTTCTTATTCTCTTGGTAGCTCGTAAACTGGAAGGCCATACAAACAGTTCACAATGGCCACAATCTGTTCCCGGGTCGCGGCACCAGTTGTCGTGTTGGAAATCCCACGTGAACTCTAGCTACAAATGTAGTTAGGATGTTCCCACAACAATACGTCTACTAGGATAGTAAACGATCGTTCGGGCGGACCTGAAGAACCCAGTTCTGCCCTTGCACCGGGACAAACTGGACCTTGTAAACTACTTATATAGGCCAACCAGTAAAAATAAAAAATCGCTACTAGCACGAGCAAAGCTAGCAGGTGTTTTGAATCCTCGTGGTCCCAACAGCGGAAGGGTACCAGGCACGGGTAAGCCTTTTACGAGATCACCGAGTGCTCAACACTCGGCTGGAAGAAATAAAAGGGAGGCAATTAAAGCACTCCCAGTCGTGCAAATAGGCAACAATAAGCCGTCACGTAAAACCTCCCGATAGTAATCGGCCAAAATACACAGTCTCTTGGCCTTGCCGGTTGAACCCTCGCTACAGAGCTTCGAGTTCACCGACAGGCATAACACACTCAAACAAGCTTGACCAGACGCTTACCTTGAAGCCGGACGTCGCTCTGTGTGCTTGAGTGGAAATTTTGTTCTACCCTTTCGGGTCTATTCCTAATAAGAAGTCCTAATCGAGTATACAAATATCAAGTGAACAATGATCCGTTATGGATCTTCTTGCATGCCAAGCGTCGTCTGCACCGTCGCATGAGCATCTTTACCGGTCCGCGCCCTGTCCCAGACGGTGAAAGTGCCTTCCAAGGGTCGCTGAGTCTTCCGCGAACTCATCCGAACCGCCACTGAGGGTTCGTACCGTAGATGGTCCACTGAATGCGAATCCGGCCAGTTCATTAATAATAAGGACAGCCTGGATTCAGTGACATATGCCCGTATCCAATACTCGTTGAACGTTCGGAGGTGACGCCGTCGAGTCCCTTGCACCTTGGCGTCTCCGTACATCACCTGACCGAGGGTTCGTCGCTTGAACAACTTGGGCGGGGTCACGTCTTTGTCGACGGGTGATAATCCGCAACTACGGAGAAATCACTACACCACATCTCGGCCAGGTGCAGGCGTGTTTCTCCGTTGTGCAAAGGCGTCTGCTGCATCTTTTGCATTAGCATCATCATTAGTCGCTTGGTTGAGAGCGCCAAGCTCCCTTGAGTACGCCTTGCATTCCTTAGCTATCCTGCGCTGTATCTCCGCTAATAATACATTGAAAGCGTCAGAAATATATAACAACTACACATACTCCAATTATTTGAGCCTACCGAGATCCAGTTTATCCAAATATTGCATCAGTGCTTCTGCACCCGCGAAGAAGTCAACGCTCGCCACGTCCGTCTTCGTCTTGCCTGGCTTGAAGTACGTGTGGTGGTTTGAAAGGCCGCTGGGCCTCTTTGACTGCCAGCCAAGCTTTTTCAGCTCCCGCCAGCGCGCTTGGAACGCCATTTGCTAGGTCTGCGTCTTTGCCGGTGGTTTCTGAAATGTGGGAGAAATCAGTGGTGTCTAAACGAACCTCCAATACACGACGATGATGAGTCCTGCACCTATCATTTGCCTTTGTCTTCTAATTTTCTGGAAATACTGAAAACAACATTAACACAGCTTTGTTCGGATAGGTGGGAATGATGGGGATCAATGCCTAGCCCTTAGTGACTTCTACAGCTTAAGCATAATGTAGAAACGTGTCTAATGCAGGCTCTCACGCTAATAATTTATGGTATAAGCTTTTTTGGTTTCACGCTTTGAAATTGTTTGAACATACATGTATATTAAATAATAAGCTATTCCAAGTACCACGGAAAAATCCTGAAGCCTTTACTTGCGGAGGCTGTCATTCACTGAATTGACCTAGAAAAAATATTGTCATAGTTGATACAGTACCAGCTTATTCTCAGTGCCCAACCCTGACTTAAAATATGATGCTGCTGTACGGACCCAAGTAAGCTCATGCTGAGCACCTCGCTGGAGTTTTTGTGCAAGATCTGCGATCGCACGTTGATGAAGTTCGAGCTCCCCCTGTAGTGACTCTACTGAGCGTCTCTCGTACTGCTTCAGCTTAGTTTCTTTGTATTGCAGGCGAGATAACTCGGCTTGGAGCTGTCGGGTCTGCAGCTTCAGCCGGCGCTCTTCTTCCTACGAACATACGTAAGCTGATTAAATATTCTTCGCTTGGACCCTAATTATTCGCGAACCTTCTTATGTTTGGCATGGCTAACCGCTGCCGTTTTAGCTACAACTTTGCGACACAGGTCAGCGAGTTCACTGCCATTCAGGACATGTACATGCTGTCCCGTGGGAAGGGTGACCGAAGATGGGTCAGAGACTATCACTTTTGCTTCGTCATCATTTTCGGCGCTACAGAAGATGAGGAGCAAGTCCATACACCGATATGATGTTAGACAATGGAATGTGGGCCTATCGTGGCGGAACAGAAAAGGCCTTAAAGTTGAAACAAAGTTGGTTAGAAGTACAACCTGATCCAGTTTAGGGAACAGGGGTGCATACATTGAGCGTGGGAGCTGGTCAATGACAGCCAGCCCTTGTTTTTCTTCCTGCCCTTGGTACTTCTCATCATCGATATAATTCTGCCAGGACGTACGAGCTTCTTCGGATTCTTCGATTGCGTCGATGCTACTATCGCAAACACTTCTCTGCTCCTCGATTTCCGCAGGCGTGTCAATCTGGATACTTCCCGAAACCGTGGAAGCAGTTTCGAGATCGGCGTCAGTCGTCAATAGTTCCTGGATCTCCGGCACGACCAAGAGATCGTCGACAGCAATTTCGGAGATGTTGGGCGATGTCATGAGATTAGATAGTCTCGTGTACGACGCAAAGACGGAAGTGAGAGCTAGCACCAAAGAGATATGCTAACTACCAGCCTGGGACCAAGGGTAGAATTTGCTGCTCAGTGTCTCACTGCTTTCACATGACGAATCAGTGAGAGTGCACAACTTGCCGCATTATCTGACATGCTGCCATCCTAAGATTTTAGACAAGTATAAAAACATAATTGAAATTTCAAATGTATCCAAGATTATTTGCGATTTTTTACGCTAATATGTGACCTCTTTTTCACTTTCGAATTTGGGTGTTCATCGCGCTGATCTAAGCAAGAAAGAACTAGTAAGTCGCCAGTACATTTACCCGAAGGAAAAAAACCTGGCTCACCCAGTCCTGTTCCTCGTTCGTTGCAGATTTGACTTTTTCTGACAGATCAGCTGCTTCATCTCTGTGAATCTCAAGTTCTTTCTCCAGCGATTCGACAGAACGTTGTTGGTAGTGGGTCATTTGTGATTCGAGCTCTTGGAAACGAGCCAGCTCCATTTGCAGTTCTTGAATCCTAGTCTTTTGCTGTCGAGCCTCCTCCTGCATTAATGCATCGGCTAACGTTAGAAGCACACGTTATGGATTCCAGTATCGCTATCTCGCCTTTTTACGCTTCCGGTAGCGCCGCGATGCCGTCTGCATCCGCAGTTTGCGACGAAGTTCATCAAACTCGGCAGAGTTCATGACATGGATCCGTTGGCCAGTAGACAAGACCTTGGTCGTTGCGACTGATGCTCTTGGCTTCTTGTGCGGCGACGGAAGGCGTCGAACTGTCGGTTCCCGAGAAGCCATGGGAGCTTCAACTTGGGCTGGTATTGGCGGTATTAGTGCTGCAGCATATGACGGTGGAATTGGTGCGCTCGCAGCAGCAGCTAACGGAATTAAGCCCAAGTCTCCACCATAGAATGCAAACATTCCTGCGTTCCTAAGTAATAATTAGAGCAATCATAGGCGTTAGCAACGCTTTGGACGATCTCAGTCTCGAAGTAGAATACTTACGGAGGCTGTGGAGACCAGCAAGATCGATAATAAGGTGGTGGCTTTGGCTGCATTGGGAAAGGTGGAGCTGGGGCTGGGCCAGCACGAGTCATGAGTGGGCTAGATCTAAATTGTCGAGCCACAGTGGCAAGCAAACAATGAAGCCAGCATCAGTTAGAGAATTCTAAACTACTTTAAAACTTCACTTCTTGCAACAGCAAAAACGGTCAAATTAGCGCAGACAAACACGGTAGTTTAGGGACAAGGCTGCATACATTGAGTTCTGCATCTGCTGAACGACGCCTAGAGGTTCCTGTTCCTGTTGAATCCTGTGTCCTGCAGGGTACTTTTCCTCGAGGTTGTCGTCATTAGACGGCCAAGATTCTGCATGGGACGGTCTTTTTCCGGTTTGGTCGCCACTATCCTCACCGCTGCTCGGCGTATCATTATCCTCGCTGCTGTCACCGTGGTTGGTGTCCCCAGTAGAGCTGTGGTTCAGCCCCGAGATGGAGGAATCGTGATTGTTGTTGGTAGTACTGCTTGCAGTCGTCGAAGCCGATCTGTCTTGACAGGGGCTGTCCGAAGCCAGAAGCTCCAGCACTTCCACCATCATGGCCCGATCACTCGAGTTGGGGCCAAAGAGGTGAGCTGGTCGGCGCCACGCCATGCTGGGGTAAAAGGAAGGTTGATAGATGGAAAATGAATGCAGAACGAATTATGTGACCGTGCTTCGAGCAGAGGAATCCGGGACGGGGAACCGTTTCCGTCCCAAGACCGTTGAGATATGCATACAAACTCAAATTTTACGGAGCTTAGCCTCTTTCCGATTGATTACGGCCCTGTCACGGCCTCCTTGCTCGAACCTCATGCTACGAATATCATTGTCACTACGATTCCTACTATCATGGACGCCACGTCCCTTACTGGCGTGGCTGCAGACTTCGTCTCTTTGCCTCCGTAGCATGGGATCTCACTGGACGGAATTCTCTGCAAAGCTTCAAGTAGATCAGAGTACGGCACTTGCCACGACGTTGTCTGCATAAGTCCATAGTGTGTCACTGCGAACGTCCCAGCCTCCCCGTCCGCCGAGTCTTCCAGATAGCGCTCCCTATCCGGATTCAAGGCGTAAAAGTATCCGCCTTGAATCGAAGCCGCAAAGTCGATGAGATAGTCAAGAACGGCGGTTTGGTGAGGCTGCATGACGCCGTAGACTCCGCTGAACGTGCCAAGTACGAGAGAAATGTCCGAGTCGACGGGGAGATCCCCCAGCGCTTCCGCCATAGCAGTCTCATAGTTCTTCAAGGTCTCTGGGATCGAGATATGTTCGTACGAACTGCACGCGAAGTGCGAGTCACTGCAGCCGAGTTTGCTCTCCTTCTTGTTGCCGTTGATTAAGTCTACACACAGCGTCTTCTCCTGCTTGGAGGTGAGGTCCAAAGACTCGAACTGCTCCACATCATCGGTGCAGTTGCTCTCTGGAGTGTAAAAGTAGTTTTGAGGATAAACGCCGTGTGCGTGCGCGTGTGGAGCGAGGACGATTTTGTTGCTGGTGTTGACTTGGAGAGGGTTGAGCGTCGCGTTCTTGAGGTTGCCGCCATTCCAGTGGTTACTGAGTCCGTAGTCTTCGTCGACACGGAACCGTTGGGCATCCGTGAAGGAGCTCGCTCCACCCACAAAGACCAGTCATTGAGGACAACGCTCGAGCACGGCGTCTGCCATAATCCCCGCAGCTTTACGCCAGTCGGTTGTTTCATCCGAATCCTCGGGGTCGGCATTCCACTGAGCTCGCAGCATCTCATCTTTCAGATCAACCCCAATGATGTTCCAGAATCTGGCGCCACAGAGCTCCGGAAAGTCTCTTGACATCCATGCAACTTGAAGGTTTCAGTAACGATTAAAACTTTTTAATCTGAGGCCTGTACCCACATTCGACGTGTCGGATATCACCGACGACGTGGGTGAGAAACGTACTCTGTTGCGTCGTCATCGAGGAAGGTCGGAAGATTGTTCGAAGACGAAGTGGGTAACTTGTGGCTGGTTATATCAGTTGTGGTAAAGCGAAAAGCTCCGAGTAGCTACGTAGCACGGCTACGAAAGTTAGATGCTTGTGTTGCGACAAAATAACTGTCCAGGGCTTTCGGGGATCTCGTTTAAAGCTGAACACCAAGTGGACACTTGCATACTCTCCGCACAACGAGTGACATTTGTAAGGAAGGGGTAACTTTGCAAGCATCGCAAACCCATCGTAACAAAGTACCACACTTTGACAAAGTAAGATGTAGTTTGCTGATAGTTTGTCGAAATCAGCTAACTGGACTAATTCTGGCTTTGTGTGATCAGGACGAGGTCATTCAAGTCGCTCTGTGCGTTCATTCCCCCGAAGATCAGCAAACCTTGGCGTCGATCCTTCTCTGCAGCTTTCGACGTCTCATGCAGCCACACCGTCGTGCCACAATGTCCAAACCGCTCTGGAATATCCGTCGTCGACGGTTCCGCTGGTTCCTTCTCCTTCGCGTCAGCTGTCTCCACTGGTATCCAGGACTCTTCGGCATCGGAATACCGACAGCAGTCTCCGCAGATGCGACCTCCATCCCAGCCACCAAAGGCGATCAACTCGCCATCCACCACATCAGCAGCTAGAGAACAGCGATTCCACTCACATATCGGCACGAGTTGCCACGTCCAGTAACTGAAGTTGAGCATTGCCATGTCTGTGCAGACTTTTCCGTCCAAGTTGCGACCTCCAGCAAAGCAGATTGACGTCTCGAACTGAAGGAGCGCACAGTGAAGCTCTCTGGCTTCAGGGAGTTCGCCTTCAGATGCGCATTTCTCCCATCGCAGCGGTTCGCTGACGTCAGCTGGAATGTGCAGAAGATAAAGATCGTTGAAAGCTCCACACTCGGGCGACGACCCGCCGTAAATCAGCATTCGTCGTGGTTCTCTCGGAGCGCCCGTCGGAGGTAAAGCGATGGCAGCGTGCGCGTTCCTGGGAAGAGGAGGCTCGCCTTCCGTCGTGGCCTTAGTCCAGGAACAGGTTTGTGTATCGAACGTGTGGACGTCGCTGTAGATTTCACTTTTCGCGGCATCGAGACCACCGAAAACGTAGATCTTGGACCCAATTGCGACGGCAGAGTGGCCACTTCGTGGGGGTAAACTGCCTCTCGAAGGCTCAAGAAGTGTCCACTTGCGTGTGTCTACAGACCGAAGCAAACACGCACAACAGTTAGCATATTTCTTCAGTTAGTACCGTTAACTTACCCAAATCAAAGTGATGTGCATCGCCGAAGCTCGCTCCTTCTCGATTGGCGCCTCCGACCAAGTAGACTGCTCCAGTTTCAGAAATCTACACGCCATAGAGCAGCATGGATTAATATACGGCGAGTAACAATGTGATACTTGAACGGTTGCTCCAAGATACCTGCGTCAAAGTCGCGCCTCCACGTGCCGCTGGTTTCCTCCCGCCATCCACCGACAAATGGTCGATCAAGAACACGCGTGGGTGTTCGACAGCCTCCTCTTGGATAGTAGACGCCATCGATCTCTGCTCCCAGTTTGTAATGATACGCAGGATTTACAAGCGAAGAGCCGCGACTTTCTGAGTGCCGAAGATACGTGACCATCAACACAATAACTACTAATACATCTACTTCATGTAGTAGGAAAGAACCAAATTGACAGGATTCTGAAACTGTAGCATTGAAATTCATGGAGCTATCGACCCATCTCTTTCATCTCGTTGGTGGTGGGGGTGGTACCATTCCCACTGTGGGAGGCGGAGGCGGATATGCCATCCCCATCGCTGCTGGGGGAGGAGGAGGTGGCACCATCCCCATGCCCATATAACCTCCTGCACTCTGATTAAAGTGTGGAGGTAGAGGAGGCGCGTCCATCGCAGGAGCAGCCCCAGCAGTAAAGGCGAACATGGTGTGAGGCTTTAGTTTATTGGGATTCCTCTGAGCCAGCAGCCTTTCCGCCTCCGAGCCGTGACGTTCATTATGACTGTCCTTCTTGTACGCATACTGTACTACCACCTGTCGGTTGCACAAGTACTGGCCGTGCATACACTCGATAGCCAAGTCAGCAGCCTCAAACGAGTCGAAGCTGACGAATCCGAACCCTTTACTGGCTTTAGTGTCGGGGTCGCGCATGATTTTTGGCGTCTCGACGATGCCCCCAAAGGCCGAGAAGGTGTCGTACAGCAGCTTCTCGTCCACTTCCGGGTCCAAATTGCCAATAAACAAATTGGCGCCCACGTCCAGATTCTTTCTGTCGTTCGACGCCTTCTTCACGCGGATCACGCGGCCGTACAGTTGGATCATGTTGAGCACTTTGACAGCGTACTCGGCGCAATCTTCGGTGCGGAATTCCACGAAGCCATAGTTCTGGTGTGCCCCAGTGACCTTGTCGCGGGGCATGTGGACGTTGCACACGCTACCAGATTGTAGCATCAATTCCCATAGAAGCTCCTCCGTCACGCGGTCGTCCAGGTTGCCTACATACACGGTCGCGTCCTGGTTGCGCTGTTCGATGGCGGCCGACATGGCGGCGGATTGGACTTTTATTCGTGTAGTGGACGTAAGAATTATACGACTAGTGTGATGTGGTTGGCATTTTCTTGTGAGCCACACACACAATAAGGTTGGATTTCCAAGAAATCTTTTTTACACTTTTTGACCAATCAAGTACTACTAACTCTGAGATCCCTCCAGTGCAAGTGCAGATATCAGCCCAATCCTGAATCCACGAATGCCGAGAAAAAGACGAGAACAGCTGTTACTGGGTAGCCTCGGTGCTGCCTAGAGGGGCCGCCTAGTCCTAAGTGTGGGTGACAGAGACTCCAGTGATGAGGATGACGATATGAGCTTCTCTTCATTGTACCTGGTGCTCGAATCTCAACGCTACCTCACCCGACGCAAGCGCGTAAAGCGACCTCCATCACGGGTACACTACTATCTGACTGAGATGCCTGAATACGAGTTCAAGCTCCATATTGGTCTATCAAAAAGCTATTTTCCCGCTGTATGCCAGCTTATTGCTGATCACAGCGAATTCCAGAGCGTGGTTGGCAAACAACCAAAGTTGGGTGTGGAGTTACATGGCGCTCCTCAAGACATTAGGATCGCTGAACAACCAAGGCCACGCAGCGGACTTTCTTTCTGCTGGGGGGGGGGGGCACAGCGGAGTCATTACTAGCAAAGCGTATTATACGAGCATTAATTAGCTTTAAGTCGGATGTAATTTGTTGGCCAATGTTAAATCAAATGTAAACTTATATGTCTATTAATTCCTTAATTGACCCCAATTTCTCAACCTATTGCTATTCTTACAGTTGTGCTCAGACCGAAGCAAAAGAGGAAGTGAGGAGCTGATCCTCTCTTCCTATTCCTCTCCTCATCGCACTTAGTGTGTGCCTTGATTATAGAGGGGCTCCTCTACCAATCACCGGTCAGAGTACCGTTGACTACATAGACACTTCAATAGGCATAGTAGAGCGCATACACTTTATATTAATATGTCTCACCCGGTACAACCCAGCCCATACGGGGATTGCCTGTCGCATCCCCTTGGTGCTAGCTCCAGTGCCGGGCTCAACACTCTGTGGTGTAGTGATTTCTCCGTAGTTGCGGATTATCACCCGTCGACAAAAACGTGACACCGCCCAAGATGTTCAAGCGACGAACCCTCGGTCAGGTGATGTACGGAGACGCCAAGGTGCCAGGGACTCGACGTCGTCACCTCCGAATGTTCAACGAGTATTGGATACGGGCATATGTCACTGAATCCAGGCTGTCCTTATTATTAATGATGGACTGGCCGGATTCGCATTCAGCGGACCATCTACGGTACGAACCCTCAGTGGCGGTTGGGATGAGTTCGCAGAAGACTCAGCGACCCTTGGAAGGCACTTTCACCGTCTGGGACAGGGCGCGGACCGGTAAAGATGCTCATGCGACAGTGCAGACGACGCTTGGCATGCAAGAAGATCCATAACGGATCATTGTTCACTTGATATTTGTATACTTGATTAGGACTTCTTATTAGGAATTGACCCGAAAGGGTAAGCTTAAATACAGAACAGAATTTCCACTCAAGCACACAGAGCGACGTCCGGCTTCAAGGTAAGCGTCAGGTCAAGCTTGTTTGAGTGTGTTATGCCTGTCGGTGAACTCGAAGCTCTGTAGCGAGGGTTCATCCGGCAAGGCCAAGAGACTGTGTATTTTGGCCGATTACTATCGGGAGGTTTTACGTGACGGCTTATTGTTGCCTATTTGCACGACTGGGAGTGCTTTAATTGCCTCCCTTTTATTTCTTCCAGCCGAGTGTTGAGCACTCGGTGATCTCGTAAAAGGCTTACCCGTGCCTGGTACCCTTCCGCTGTTGGGACCACGAGGATTCAAACACCTGCTAGCTTTGCTCGTGCTAGTAGCGTTTTTTTTATTTTTACTGGTTGGCCTATATAAGTAGTTTACAAGGTCCAGTTTGTCCCGGTGCAAGGGCAGAACTGGGTTCTTCAGGTCCGCCCGAACGATCGTTTACTATCCTAGTAGACGTATTGTTGTGGGAACATCCTAACTACATTTGTAGCTAGAGTTCACGTGGGATTTCCAACACGACAACTGGTGCCGCGACCCGGGAACAGATTGTGGCCATTGTGAACTGTTTGTATGGCCTTCCAGTTTACGAGCTACCAAGAGAATAAGAACAAGAAAAAGACAAGAAACATGGCGAAAGGACAACCGACGGTACCAGTTACGCCTGCCAAGTCTGGCGGGGCTCGCAACGAGAGTTCAAGCCCGGCTGCGCGCTTTGCAGCTGCCACCGAGCTTTCAGTGAGCTTCGACGACGAAGCGGACATCGGTCCTGACGCCCACGATTATGAAGATTACGAAGACAAGACGCCGGCTCCAGAGCCAGGCGCAGCGACACCAGAGACGGCCACGCTGTCATCAGGGCTGAGCGGGGCGACCAAGTCCCTTTCGAGGAACCTCGCCGACGAGCTCGATGATGTTGCGGGACCAGAGCCAGCCTACGATGATTATGACGATGGGACCGAGGGTTCTAAACTTTCGGTGGCAAGTGCAAAGCCTTCAGCACTGCTGAAGGCACCTCGCCCACCTATCAACGGTGATACACCAGCCGTCAAGCGCGTTTTCGACCGCGTACAAGCGCTGATGCAGAATGATGAGTGGATGCAGCTGTTCAAGCCCATCCCCAAGAAAAAAGCCGACTGGCCTGCGCTTGCGCAGGAACTTCAATACCCAGTCAACTCGGTTTCGACTAGCCAAGTTGCCGAGGATTCAGTTTCGCTACTGTTGTCGCTGGGGTTCGAGAACGAGACGTAACCATCGACGATGTCGCTCCAGGATTGGAGTCCACATGAAGCCGGAGCTGCTCTCCAGAAATGGAAGAAGAAGCTTCGGAAGGCGTTTGGCGCCGTTGGCATCAATGCCGGAAAGCAACCTGTGAGTCGACCGATGATTCAAGGTGAAGATCCGTCCAAGATTCCATTGCCGCCGACGCCCCAACGACTCGTTCGTACTCCTCCGACCAAGCGTGGAGCTGAGCGTGGTGCCTTTGGCACTACCGAAACTTTACCGTACTTTCAAGACTCGCACATGGTTACGCCACGTTCGGAGAGCCGTATGCAACGTATTTACGCAAGTAACGAGGGTTCGTTCGGTCGCCGAGGCGGGGCACAAGCTCCCAAAGGTGGTGACGGACGTCGTCAAGTCGACAGCGATGGTTCGTCCAGTGACGATGACATTTTGGTGCGTACATTCGACGAGGAAGATCCTCAACTCGAGTTGATGCGTCAGATGAATGAGCTAGCGCCGCTGAACGACGTGGACCCAACACCGAGGATTGAAATGGCCTCGCACCGACCGCTGGATCGCATCACGCCGTTCTCAGGCTCTCGCAACAAGAGCGAGAAATGTATGCAGTGGCTCCGTGGGTTCGTCTATGAAATGACTGGAACCCACACAGATGCCGACAAATGGTGCATTCCATTTGAGCTAAGGCTTCGGGACGGAGCCATTCATTGGTTCCGTCAACTTCCGAAGAAGACGAAGCGCAAGTGGAAGCTGCTGAGCGACGCGTTCATCCGCTACTACTGCTCGCAGTTCACGCAGACGGCACTGTCGCGTTACTACTCCGCCAAGCAGGAACGTAATGAACATCTGTGCGACTACATAAACAGGCTGAATGGCTATGCTCGGGCCGCCCGTCTACACTTCGAGAAGAGTGGTCGCGACGCGAAAGAACACGTACAGCAGTTCCTGGCAACATGCGATGATGACAAGCTGGCGGAGAGTCTCTACCACGCTCGAGTCGCCGACATTCACACCAGCTCGAAGAGATGTTCTCAAGGGCAAGGAGAGGATGGCCAAGCGTGGCAGTGAGTACCGATACTCCAAGGGTCGTGATACGCGACGCGACGATGGATACGCCCGCAACAACCGGCGTGATGACCGTCGCCGCGATGACAACCGCAACAAACCAAGGGTGACACTCATTGAAGCCACAGTGGACGACCTACTAGCTGAATTAGAAGGTCGTGAAGCTGCTCAGGGAGGCTCCGAGTATTCAAACGAAGATCCGAACGCTTACAACGATGTCCAAGACGAGTACAACGACTTTCAGCCCGATAATACGGATGGTGATTTCTCATTGGATGAAAACGACCGATACCTCGCCGCTGCTAACGAAAATGAGCGCCGTGCAGCTGCTGAAGGCACCTACGCACGTTCAGACAACCGTCAACCGCGTGGAAACATGCCTGATCGCGAGAATGGCTTCAATCAAGATCGCCGAAGTAGTGACCGTGGGTTCAATCAGGACCAACGCGGTCGACGTGACTTCAACCGCGACAACCGACGCTCACAGTACGGACCATGCGCGGAGGCATGAGTCACTCGCCCAATACTGTAACAAGCGATGCAAGCTCTGCAAACAATTCCACGATGCTGGACAATGCGAGCTTTTCCGCAGCTTCCAAGACCTTGTCAACTTCGTGCGCACTAAAGGCACGAAGGAGGAACTCCCGTTAGAGCTCAAGGCCGTCGTTCAAGAACGTCATTTGAACTAGGCAGCCTGCCAACTACAGCTGGGTTGGTCCCTATCGGACTGCCACAGTTAACCGAGCCTTCAATGGAAGCAGGTGTATCTTTGCTTTCGTGAGGCAGAGTGAATGGCCTGATAAATACGTAACAAGTGTGAACGCGACGGAAAATGAAAAGGAGAGGAGTAGAATCCTCGGTGGAGGTGCTGGAGAGAGAGTGGAGTGTTCTGATGCTGATGAGGGCACCAGCGAGGGTTCGTTCGGCTTGGTTTCGAGTGCAGCGCGAGACGAGCCCAAGGGTCACTCCAAGATGATGAAGTTGAACCCTGGCGAGAGACAGGGGTGGTGGTCGGCCAAGAAATTCGACCGACGGATCAGAATGAGAGCTCTGGTGCAAGGCGCTGTGAACGACCAGTGAACGAGGATCCTCCTCGACACAGGAGCGAACGTTAGTGCGATCACTGACGCCTTTGCTAACAA